ATTATGACTAGGGTCTAAAGTTACAGTATACAGTTTTCTGATCACAAGAGACAATTTAATAAGTTAATGAATTAATTTTTCATTATTAATAAAGCCAATGTGTGAAAAAAGGCATGTGCATGTACAACACAAGGATCTAAAGAGCCTTCCATTAGGTGACCTCAGTAGCCTGGGAGGGGTAAGGTTTCACAGTGGCTTCAGCAGTGGTAATGTCCCATGCCTTTTCCCAAACCTTGGTTCATGTGATGACGTAAAAGGCTAGTACTGGGTCAACGACCCCCTCATAAGGAACAACCCCCACTAGAATTTAAATACACATGCATGTAGTGTATGATCACACTTTTAAGCTGATATCATGTTTAAAAGGTTTGTTGTTTATGTCGACCAGTTTGGCTTGGGGTCCTCATAGAATGAGTTAAAAATGCTCTGTTGTAGCTGTTTTCTGCAGGGCACAAATGACAGCCCGTGATTTAATTTCCAACCCCCCGCAGCTTTATTATTAACACCCACTTTTAGTTTTATGTTACACTACACTAATCCAATAAAGGTTTTCACTTCTGTGAAAAAATATGTTTACTTCAGTTTTCCAGTGATCGTCTGCTAACATAGCATTTCTAACCACACGTCTTAAAAAGTATAAAGAATACCTCATAAACAAAGTCTTGCCGAGAGTGGTCCAGAGAAAGGATGAGTAGGTGGAAAGAGAACAAAACCAGGAAGTGTTCTTGGGTTTCCTGCAGAGGCACAATTCACAGGATTTAATCATTTTCACTGCTTTTTTAAAAGGGCCACATAAACACATGTGTGGGTGCTAAGTGACTTGTTTATGATATTTAACTAATTTATAACTAATTAAACTAATTTAAATGTGATTTTTCTTATTGCAGCAATTTTTTTCATTTTATTTTGTTGCTCGTTTTAGTTTAGTCTAAATCCAAGGACTGTCTCACACATTAAATTTCTCACTCCTTTTGTGTGTTACCATATTACCTGTGTGTAGCTGATGTAGAGAGACACCAGTGAGGAGTGGATGATCTCTCCATACATGTGGGCAGCTTGGCCCTCCCAGCCCCTGATTGGCTGTTGGGAGTATATCCTTTGGTGGAGCTCATCTCTGCTCTTTCCCCACAGCACCACCTAGAGACACAAAAATATATCACCCCATGTCTGTGGCTCATTTCATGTGTCTTATTTTTGTCTGTCTTTGACAGCAGTGTTAAAAGATGCAAGGTTTTCTCTTAAATAGAGAGAATTAAAAAAAAATTTCTAGTGGGTGGCCATTTCCCCCTTCCCACTATCTCGTATCACTGTATTTATTTATAGTCAGTATTAACACATGCATTACACAGCAAACCTGAATGTATTTCACCATTGCAAGGCTTGAATCACTGTCTTTAGGCAAACTTTGTGTGTGTCTTTAGGGAACAAATACAGAGGTAAAGTGTAAGAGTTGAATCAAGTCTGAGAACAAAGCTGTGTCTAGCAATGTTTCCTCTCTTGTATATTTCCTGTAAAGTTTGAATCACACCAAAGGGGAATGCAGAATATGTCACCGTTGCATTGGAAATTCCTACAGCGCACGAGGTCTCGTCTCACCCCGGCTGAGCACTACAAGTGTTAATTCAGACTCAACCACACAGCATGCTCTGACCTTGAAAAGTGCACGATCAAAGTGTCAAGATGTTTATTTGTCAAGTACACAGCACACACACATAGCAACCTCTTGTTCCAGGTGTGGTATTGAAGGTCTGCGTGGTGGCTGGGGCTGCTCGTCTCTGCTGTTCCTCACAGACAGCTGAAGTCTGGTTTCTCCCAGGCTCCACACACTGAAAACAAACACGCACTCTTGCTCAGTGAAGGTACAAACACTTTAATGCATTAGTCATAACTGTACTGACAATTAGCATACATGCCAAAATGGTCGATTTTTGAGTATAGTCATGCAGAGCTGAAAGGAAGTAGATATGATTTCATATTATTGTTTGAGAAGTAAGTTAAATTTTGACTTTGGACCATTCACATTTTAAAATAATTCTAATTTATCTAATACTGGGCCATGAAACAATTGAACAATTTGTGCCTGTTATGGCCATAAGAGGGTTATCCTCTCTCTTAGAGCAGGCTGACTACTTGTATTTGTAGGAAAATAATAATAGGTCCTTGTAATTGAAATATACAATAGTTTTTAAGAACATTGTAAAATGGCTAAGCACAAGCATTGCCAGAAATTTAAATCAATGTATAAATATATGTTTGATAGATTGATTGAGGGGAGCATTAAGCTACAAGAGGTGTTTTCTGTATAGATATTTTTGTATGTTTTACATAATGTTGTTATATAATGTATTAAACCTACCCAGGAACTAGCTAACTATATGACTGAGCTATAAATGTGTGATAGGGTCGGAGTTCATAAGTGTTGGTTCCTCCTGCTCATTTTTGAGCACTAGAGGACTTTATTTTTCTTCATGTATATGCTCTATTTAGTTCTATTTTGTATATATGACCACATGCTTGAAAACCGTCAATCAATCAAAACTCATTTTCTGAGAAAGATATCAAATGACTGAGGCAGGTGGTATAACCATATATAACATATAACCACATAATGCTGGCCTGGTATGGCCACAGTATAGACACCTTCTAAAGGCTGTTTCCGGCAGGATGACATGCCATAACACAAAGTTTAAACAGGTTTCGTGAACACAACAATGACTTCACACACAGTTCAACTTCACATTTTATATTATGATTGTGTAATATAATTACTGAGTGCATTCAAGAAGCCATGTAAATAAACCTGGAACTCTGAAACAACACAAAAACAATCATGGCTGGGGAAATAAAGTCAAGTTTAATAATAAACTGACTTGAAGTTGTTATTACTGTTAGATATTTACTGATCTAACTCATCTGGTGATTAAACGTTATAGCTGTTTTTGTTATTATCATACTAGTGACGGCACTAGTTAAGCCGGTTCTCCTGAAATTGCATTATTTTCTTGTATATAAACAAGGTCAGCATCAGTATACTGAGCCAGTCAGTAGCTAGCAAGCGCACATTCTAAGACATCTTTGAAACACACACTTTTGTGTGTGTTATGAAATACAAACATAAGTGGCTTGCCTGATAAGCAGTTATAATTAAAGAGCTACACATAAGGAGCAGAAGCTCCTGCAGTGATTAGCTTCTGCTAATCCCCCAGCCTTTGAATGAGAGGGGATTTGTCCCGCCCTTACTCTGTATTAAACCCCTCCATGCTTCAACCATTGTCTTATAGTAATCTGCTAATCACATCAGTGCAGCATCACTGAGCACCCAAGTTCATGTTGAGTAAATAGGAGCCAATTAGCTCTCCTGTCTTGTGTCTCCATGAGGTGCTGATGGGCAGAAATCGAACGCGTGTCATTGGTTGTTCTGCAGTTTTTGTTTTCTTTTTCTTGTTGGATTTAAATCTAGTTTTAAAGTTTAAAGTGCTCTGTGTGACAACACATCCTGTTACTGTAAAGCCAAGCATGTAGTGTGTGTGGTATATCCTGTACATGATAACACTGAATATGCTGCAGTGCTGAAAAGGATTATGCTTGCGTTTTACATTATCACCTTAAAAATGTCAAGAATGAAATGCCACAGAAAACCGCATGTGTTGAAAGAGAAGCAGCTCTCTTTTCACTTTACAGCCTGCCACCGCTTCCTCCAAAACACAGAAAAACCACATTTAAAGTGACTTTAGAGATACACTCAAAAAAATACTGAGTGAAATTCACACGTTGCCGTTCTGTTAACTGTTATTTATATATTTATATATATATTTATATAGTTAACTTTTTGTTGCAGGATCAAAATACAGTGAAATAAAATTGTTTGTTTTATTTTTTGAACAGCTCCTAGCTTCAAACACTAATCTTGCATTTGTGTCTTACCCTAAATTGTCTCCAGAGAGTTCCAGGAGCTCAATCTCATCAGGGCCCACCTCGTCCACTCCAGTATGCCTCTGGGTCACACTGCAGCATCCCATGACGGAGAAGGAGTCTGTCCCTCTTTACCTCGTCTCAGCTTCTGTTCCACACACTGAGCACCATCTGTCTAGACAATCATCCAAACAGTTTGTGCGTGCCTCATTAAAACCAAAGAGATAGCAAAAAAATGGGGGGGTGGGTTTAGAAGAGGATATTGTGCACAGGAGCAGGGGATGAGGAGGCGGTGTGCTGCTAAGCTCTAGTTCCCCCTTTTTGCCAGCATTCAGTGTGTATTTCCACAGAGCCCTGAAAACAAAAAGCTTTTGAAGAGGAATTGAAGACAAAAGTGGCAGGTTTTTGTTGAATTGCAGCGTAGTAGTTGTTCCTTCCTTCCTGTCAGTTGGCCGTCGGCAGATGACTGAGCAGCTTCCTATTTTACACTCTGAACTTACGCTGGGAACCTGCTGATGTATCAGCATGATAAATAAAAACTGTTTTGTCACAAAAAGACGAGCCGACCAGATGAAGGTCAAAAACTATCATACCTCCTGAAGTTGATAAGACAAGCTCCCTCCTTGTTGTGAAACGTGTGGAAGCAGTTATCTTATTGGGAAAGATGGGGCCATGCCTGTCTAGTTTACATGCGCTGAACTTGACTCTGAGTAGCCAAGAGAGATAATTATGAGTTATGACACAGAGAGGTAAAGGGCTGCAGTCAAAACAAGCTACAACAACTGTAGAGTGGAGCCTTGCGTTGATCTTCCTGGTTAAAGTTGCAGTAAGGTGGTGGGAGGGTTTGCACACAATCACGTCTGAGTGACTTTCCACAGATCAGAAGCTGCTCTGCTGATGCAACTTCATGTCAGATGACTCACTGATGCATTTTCTACCAGACCCTTTGATTTGAGAATGAATGTTGTATGCATGCACTAACAAAGAAAAATGACTTTGACATGGGTTCTCTTCGCCACACCTTCCTTACCAAACAGGACCAAAAAAAGAAGCCAGAAGATATTGTTGATGATGAATACATTCTTTATTGACGCATTTTCCAGAGTATTTCTCTTAAAATCTTTAAAAAGCACCAAAGGCTTTTTATACCGCAGCTGTCTGCATACTGTCACAGTTCCTCTTTTCTTTTCTACACTAAACTCTTCGTATCCTAAATTGTTCCACATGTTCAATACTGTAAGGTACGGTGTTCCAGGAGAGCCACAGACAGGTAGAGCTTCACTCACTCAGAGCTAGTGATGACGGGGATGTGATGGTCATTTCCAGCCTTTAAATGATGATTCAAAGTACTTTTGCTTAGCTTGAGTTTAGCTGTATAATGTGAATTCCCTGACTCACGATGATTTTGTGAAGTGCTGGTGGGACGGTGGCCACTCATCGACCTGCTCCTTCGTTTTGGAAGTGCTGAATCATTTGCAGAATTATCAGGGGGTGCCGAGGGAACACTTTTTTCCTCTGTTCCACACATAAACCTTCTGGGTTCAGTTTTCTGAGCATCTTTGGTGTTTTTCTGCAATTCCATGCTAGACTTCTCTGTAGTGGAAAAAGCACTATAGAGAAGCACAAACTCCCTCTGACTGACCAAAGGAAATATTTTCTGCCTGCCACGAATCTTCCTGAAGATCTCCAGAGTCAAATCTAGAGAAGGGCATAAAACAACAGACAGACTTATAGATAGAAAAAACACTTTTGGTTGTTACAACACATCAGCCTGTTTAGCAAACATGTGCAATAAAGGGAACTGTGACTATGGCAGTTAAACACTAAACAAAATGTGAGAACATCTTTGGTGGAGTGGTATTAATACAAACATATGCTGAATTTGCATTTGGGGCTTGCGAAACGTGCTGTTTGTTTTTCCAGAACTCACCTAGTGTCTCCACAACCACGCTGGGTATCACCTCCTTTAGCACCTCACAGTTCGTATGGAGAGCTGGATTGCAGTTCATCTCCAGCAGCCACACCTATCAGGAATGCACACACTCAATGCACATGCTAAACACTGTTTGCATTCACATTACCAGAAATGTCCTACCCACTTTGAAGTCTTCATCGACCAAGAAGTCACAGCCGATCAAGTCAAAGAACCCCAGGCGGCAGTCTAACTTTGACTTGACTGCTAAGAAGCACTGGCTCATGATCTGCTGCATGCGCTTCTGAATATCAGGGAGAAAGAAAGTTGTTCATTAGGCATCAGAATGATTTTATGACTTTTGTATTACCGGCTGGTTTGTTTCACTTCAACTAATTAAAGTTCCTCACTACTGCATATAGCTCAAGCTTCATTTAAGTCAAAGAAGTGTGTGTGTGTGTGTGTGTGTGTGTGTGTGTGTGTGTGTGTGTGTGTGTGTGTGTGTGTGTGTGACACAACGCCAAAAATGAACCGACCAATCTGCAGGGCACTGTAAAAAAAAACAACCCATCACATGTAACATCTCATTTTAGTGATGGGATGATGCATCCAAAACTTAACCACAATCTCAATTAGCTGCATGTGCCAGTAACCATCATTATAATTGTAATTGGTCCCTGAGAGCTACAACACTGCACTCACTGCAAAGGCGCCCAGCACCCAGTCCCTGGGCAGATCCTTTGCAGCCTGAAACCTGTCGTTGACGTAGGCGTTGAAGCTCTCCATGGACCACACAGTGTCTTCCTTCAGTTGGCTGTAAAGAGGGTTCTTCTTCTGCATGTACTGGAAACGAACAGCAGGGGGACCAGAGACACACGAAGATGTGAGCAGAGGCAGGTAGCAAGTTTGTGCCAAAACAAAAAGCTTGATCTGGAAATAATGAAGACATGTAGCATAAAAAAAGACAGACATGAGTGTCCCTCTAGCAATAATTTTCCAGCTGAAACATGTTTAGCATCTTTAATATCTGATGTGCACATAAAATTCACCACCGAAAGTAAAACCTAAACTAATGTGTGATTCAAGCTAAAATACAAAATAAACCAAGGTTAAAATCCTTTGCTAGTTTAATGGTTCAATTACAGTGATTTGTGTGTTTTGCTAAATGTAGACAATAAAGTGAATGTGAATCTGATCTGGTCTGTCTGTGGAAATGCTTGTAAATAACATTTCAAAGACATACCGCTCTAGTTAAAACAGTGATGATGTAAAGTGTCATTTTGGTTTCTATTCCTAAATACACATTTCTGCTATAGCCAGGACTCATTTCTTAGTGTATACGGAAGATGGCACATTGTTTCAGGACACGTTTAGCCTTGTTACAAGGTCCACTGGAAGGACCTGCTTTCTAACTGCTTCCCCCATTCACCACATTTTTTAACAGCTGTCTGATTTCCAAGCAGATGATTGTAAAACCGTTTAGACTTTGATCTTCCAGTTAACCCTTCATATTCTCGCAGAGTCTATCTAGATTAGGGGTCTACCTGGTTGGTCAGGTGGGCAGAAAGGTTCTTGGAGGTGGGGTCATAGAGGTCACAAGTCAGTCGCACGTAACCATGACGGAAAAAGACCACATAAGGTGCAGTGCATGCGATGAGAAGGTAGGAACGCACGTCAAACTTTTTCCCTTTCAGCAGCAGCGGGTTCTGGATGTAACTGAGGACAAATCGTAGGTCTGCATTCAATCGCACAAACACCTTCAAAGGCTGCGTTTGACAGCAAGAAGCTGAAGCTGACAGTAAGAAATGAATGACAGATGGTTGACTAAACAACCTGTAGTACAACAGAATTGTTTTTATGGTTCCTTATCATTGGCTGCTGTTACTTCTGTTCATGTTATTTTAGAACAGCACTGCAAAATGACAACTGAATCAGAGACCCAAAACTAAAGGTTTTTTGAAGCCTGTTGATGCTTTTAAAACCATGTGCCAATACTAAAAACCAGGAATAGCAGGCACTCAAGCTACAAAAATAGAATAATATGCCTGCTTCTCTGGGAACTGCAAGTGTGGGTGATATTAATCTTAACATCCTGTGTTCACCAACTGTTGAACGATGTAAGCCTGAGGCTGGCGGTAATGCATTTTCCTGTTGAACCGGCGGTCCTCCATGTGCTTCAGCTTCAGTCTGAAGGCAGCTATGTCCTCCTTGCTCTTCAAAAGGAAGATCCCTCTTCCCTGGTTCATACCTGTAGGCTTACAGATCCACATGCGGCTCTCCCTGTTGCTCACACCTGGCGACAGTGACAAAATTAAATTAACGGGGTGTCACAGGAACTGAGCTTTCCACCTGACAGTTTCCTTTTCTGTATTGTTTTTAACTTTTCAAGGCTTAATCCTGTATTGAGGCATTTGTCATTTTCACCAGTAAAATCTGATTCCGTGAAATCGTGCTTTAGTTGCGCTCAAGCACAGTTGTGGGAAAACTGGATTGCACCCAAGTGTGTTGTATTTACTTTTCACCTCTTTAGCAAATATTTAAATCTGAAATGTGAGTCGGAGTATTTCCTTTTTTTTCTATATGTTGTAGTGGAATATGATCTCTAGGCCACTACATGTCATATCATTATGAAAATAAAGACGTAAAAAAGCTCAGAACATATTGTGAACTGCAGTCAATAAAAATTATGATGCAAAATTTCAATTTCTAGTTTTTTTAAAAACAGTCAATATGCTGTTTTAAAAGTGATGCCAGCATCAACTGTCTTTAAACGCACGTCTATTAGAGTTGGTTCTGTCCTTTTTCCTTCTTTTCCACAAATTCATCCATCACCAACAGATCTAAAGCAGCTGTCTGTATTCTTGTCCTGTTTACTTAGTGATAAACGTGTTTGTCAAAACCCGTGCACAACTACTGTCATTATGCTGGGTGCCTGTAATTACTACAGTGGGTGTTAAAAATCTATTTCATCCTCAATGCTTACCATGAAAAATGTCAACTTTAATATTAAATGTATTTTCTTTGGCATTCACATCCTGCTGCACCTCTCTCCTTGTGTTTGTGTCTCAGCCCTGCCCTCTGCTGACTCATCTCTATGGCAACAGCATGTTCCCCTGGTGATTTTATCAGGGCCTTATGGGAGGTGAAGTGCATTATTTTCCAGCGTCCACAGCCTCTTGATTAAACACTCACCAAGGCGACTGTTGTCTTAACGCTACGCAGGACAAACGATTTTCTTTCTTTTCAATGTTGGATGCGTGACCCAACATGCATTTCAAGTTTAATTGATCTCATTTTAAACCTGCAAACTAAAGGATGTTCCAGTTCAACCAGTACTGTTATTGTTGCATCAAAATGCTAATGTGTAAAAGGTTGTTGTAGTTAGGTAAGATGTCAGTTACCCTCCTGTTGGGCAAAGAAAGCCTCTCTCTCTTCCCTCACATCCATGCGCAAAGTAGTGGGTATGAACTCTTCCATTTTCAGCCTCCTGTAAATTACAACAGAACAAAACGAATAAGGAAGCCCACATGGATGTCGGTGCCATGGATTACGGGAAAACTGGCTTTGAGGCAAAAAAGAAAGTCAGGCCACAAACATACAAAATCTTTGGTGTACCACAACAACATTCATATGTTCTGTTCATCCATCGTTTGCGGCATATGTTCAGATTTATTCCAAACCCCAGTCATACCATAATTTCAAAGCATTAAGTCAAGCTTTACATATATGCAAATAGATTTTTCTGAAGAACTGAAGGAAGTTTGTAATAAAAAAATAAAAAAATCTAAAAACATACACAAAGTCTAAAATATGGCATATTTCCTGCTATATACTGGTATAATAGTCCATTATTGCATATCTTCACTAGCACTGAAACATTTTCCAGCATTAGTATAAAATTCCACTTATATACTTTTAATTCTGTTTGTAGAAACTGAAGTACTCTAATCTTAATATTTGTAACTATAAATTCACATAATCACATTAAAAGCTGAACAGCTGGTTAAAATAACTCAGTGTTCATAGTTTTTATCTCTAAAGTGTGATATCTCTAAAATGAGGAACATCATATCTCAGAGCGATGCTGGAAACTAATTCATGCATTTATTACTTTTTAGGATAGACTATCATTATAATCAAGCTGTTCTAAAAACTTCCTGACAAGCTTACAGTTGATCCAAAATGCTGCAGTAAGAGCGCACACAGTGACTAGAAAGAGAGGGCATATTTCTCCCATATTGGCTTTTCGTCATTGGCTCCCTGTTAAATCCAGAATCAAATTTAAAGTCCTTCTTCTCACATACAAGGTATTCATTAATCAGGCCTCTCTTAAAGACCTCATAGTACCGTATCAGTCCAATAGAGCACTGCGTGCTACGACTGCAGGCTTACTTGTGGTCCCTCGGATATTTAAATGTAGAATGGGAGATAGAGTTTTCAGCTTTCAGGCACCTTCTGTGGAACCAGCTCCCAGTTTGGATTTGGGAGACAAACCCTTTCTCTAATTTTAGGATTATGCTTAAAACTTTCCTTTTTTGATAAACTTTACAGTGAGAACTGGATCAGGTGAGCCTGAATCCTCCCTTGGTTATGCTCCAATAGGCCTATGCTGCTGAGGCTTCCCATGATCGACTGAGTGTTTCTTCTTCACTCACTATGTGTTTATACTCCTTTGTATTTAATCTTTAGTTATTATTAACTCTTCCACAGTGTGTCTTTTGTCCTGTCTTCCTCCCCTCACACCCAACCAGTCGCAGCAGATAGCCGCCCCTCCCTGAGCCTGGTTCAGCCGGAGCTTTCTTCACGCCAAAGAGAGTTTCCCCTACTATCGTTGAAGCGCTTGCTCATATGGGGTCATATGATTGTTGGGGTTTTCTCTGTATTATTATAGGGTCTTTACCTTACAATATAAAGTGTTTTGAGGTGACTGTTGCTGTAATTTGTTGCAATATAAATAAAATTGAATTGAATTGAACTTACAGAACTAAGCTTGATACAGAGGCCTCTGCGATGCACACTGATAGCTCTACAGATGCAGTAAAATAAAAAAATAAAAAATGTATTGCATGTTTAAGAAACTGTTAGCTTTGTCCTTCTTTAGCTCTTTAGTTTTGGGGGGCAATGGTTGGGAGACTTTTTTCCTTTTCCTACCAAAGATAAAGTATCCATCTGTACATGACGTCATTTACCATAAAAATTAGGTTAGTATCAGAGTTTACATCTAATACTTCCTGCTCTGACACAGATGTTTGCACAATAACTTTGCGTCGCATTCAGCATATCCCAATTATGAAAGTGAAGTACATTTTTAATGTTTGTGACTATAAGTGAAGCTTTTTTTAACTGCATGTTTCTATGAGCGTATGGTTCTGTTTTTAAAACTATTGTATTTCCTTGCCGAGTATGACGTAAAAAAAAAATCAGGTTGTAAAATCAAACTAATTTACTATTAATAATTAGCCACAGATCCAGCATATAACTGCGACACAAAGCTTCTGTGATTCATTGGAGAGGCTAGATATCAGATGAGGTTACTTGGCGGGTTTATTAAATAGTTTCACAGGCTGATATGGTTTTAAATCATTATTTACAGAGTGGGGCTTCTATTCAGCCACAGTAATCGTACCGGATAGAAGCTGGGAGATTTGACACAGCTGCAAAATTTGGTAACAGAGATATACCTGTCTGCTTTTAAGAGAAACAACCATTTTGGATACGAGAGAGAGACAAAGACAAAGAAAGGAAAATAAATGTCCAGCTCACCTAAGTGCTTGACCATGGCTGACTCTGCTGCTCACTCGCTCGTACTGTTGAAGACTGCTGAGGAGACCGATCTTCGTGGTGAGCACCTTGTTATTGGGAATCTGGTACATCAACTGCCTGCCTGGGAACAAAAAATGAGGATTTTGAAATATTAGTTAGTTAGCATGTCAACTTTTAGTTCTGTCTCTTAAGCTAAGCAACAGAAATTGCATATTTTCGTCGTAAACCAGCTCCAGGTGATATCCTCTGCATTCCCACTACCTTCTCTGAAGTTGGAGTACTGGGCTGGTGATTTGGTCTCGCACCACTTGAGATTGAAATCCTCCCTGTCCTTGTTGTAAATCCTCTTCCATCCTCTGCTCTCACAGTAATTGCTCACTCTGAAGGAAAAGTCCCAGAGGAAATCACTTAGACTTTAATCACACCACAAACAAGAAGTAAGGGGTCACATTAGAAAAGCTTTAGACTGACAAAAGGCCCCAAATAAAATACATACCATGCTATTTTTTATTCAAGCATCACACCATACATTTCTCCACAACAGTTACTTTGAAATTAAATAATTCATACTAACATTTTAGCTCCGTTGGTTCCTCCAAAAAAGTAAAAAGGCCCAGGCCCCCTCGGCTCCTCTATCTGCCTGCCTGACAAATCCTTTAACTTGGACCTCTGGACGGGTTGTGCCATTATACATGGACCTGATACACAAACACAACACATTACCGATTCATTTCTTTACAACAGAAAGGCAGAAGAAATTAATTCTATTCTATTCCGGGGAATATTTAAGTTGTTTGACTTATAGTGTTTTTATTTTATTAGATTAAGATGTGCAGACTTGCATTTTTGTGTGCTAAAATAAAAATCACCCTATGGACAGAATTTAAAATAAGGCGCCCTCTTTACTCCACACACACCTCCACTTTGGCTCTCCTGGTTGACAGACGATTGGGAAAATGTCTGTCTCTCTTTCCAAGTCTGTGTCTGTGGCAGCAGTGTCTGTTCTCTTCCTGGTCCCTCCTTCCTCAGACTTCCTGCAGGCCTGCTGCTTCCACAGGGAACTTCTGTTTCCTCCTTTTCTTGGCCTCGCTTCTTCTCCAGTCTGGTCTCTGCTGCATCCTGACCATAACTGCAGGGATCCACGGAGCACCTTGATGACATCTCTTTGCTCTGGCGAAGGTCGCTGGGGTAATTTATTATTGATCCATAATTAGAAAGTGGGAGGAGCTCTTTTGATTCACAGTGATCCTGTTGGCATAAAGAGCGGAACAAGAGGAAAAGTACTACTGTAGAGTACGCTTCATTCATAGTATTTTCCCTGTTTCGTATGTGCATATTTTTTACTATTATATTATTTGAGAATCACACTGTTCATACTTCAAACAGGTTCATAATGGCAGAGAATAACTCTTATTAATAAATACTCTTCCTGAAGTGCATTTTAATTACGCATCCGCCCAAACTGCCAATTTAACTTCAATTTGTCAATGTTGCTCTTTTAAAGTGATCTCCCTCCAAAAGCTTACAATATGATGACATGTGAAGTTTAATGTGCCTAATTATGTTATGCTGAAATTGCAGCACCATGTCACTGGTCTTCTAGAAAATGGTGAATAAAGAAAAAAAATGAAGTAAGCGTACCTAGGTGGCCTGCTTCCTGTACCAACAGCATGTAATCAGGCTGGTATGCTGATCTAGTATGCAAATAGTAGCAGTGGAAATGTGATAAATAGTTGTATGGCTTTACCGTTTGCTGTGGTTTAATAAGAAATTAGCTCTGTTAGTCCTTTTACTGTTGTTTTGTGTGAGTATCATAAATGTAGGTAGGTATTTATGTTGGAAAGCAGGAGCAGAACTACTACAGCTATTCAAAAGTAAAACGGTTTACCTGCAACTACAGCTTCACACACACAGACATCAGGGCTCCCTGAAAAACTTGTCAGCTTACTCTTCTTCTGCCAAGTGCACTCAACCTTATAGTCCAACTGCAGGGCCAAGACAAACAGTTAAACCCACAGACTGAAGGACAGACTCGACAGGGGCGCAATCACATGGTCTGTCGGCAGTTTAGTCTAAAGTTAGCCACAGTATCGCACAATGAAAGCAAGAAAACCAACTAGTAATGTAAACAATCACCAGTTACTCGGGTAATGGGACCCTTAGCAACAGTTGCTACTTGTAGATTGAATCTTACAACACAAACTAACAAGTCAAGATTGTGTATCCCACACCAACCGGACCTCTAAGTTTAGCTTCATTCATTATTTATTGTCCGTAAGCCTCTATTGTGTGGACCCTATGGTAACATGAGAGCACTGTGTCAATCAAAATGGATTTGCCAGTTTTCCAGGGTGGCCTGGTAGGTAAAATAGTGTTCTCAACTGGCTCAGTGTCATTAACATCTAAAAGAAATCATTTCAGGGGACTTGTTTGCTTTAGATACACCGGTCTCCATCTTTTACATTGGGTTGTCTGTAGGACAGGAGGTAGAGCAGGTCATCTGCTAATCTGAAGGCTGGTGGCTTGAGCTCTGGCTACTCCAGTCTGGCCAAAGTGTAACTTGGGTCAAATTTGCGTGTGTGAATAGTAGATAGCAACCGTTAAGATGTAGAAGAATAAAGTGCTTATATCAATGGGTGAATAAGTACTAAGTAAGTGCTATACAAGACATCGTCCTACCTGTGGCCTACCCTATGTCTTTAGGTCCAGTTTACACAATTTAAGTTAGAAATCTAAGTAATAAAAATAAACCCAAGTGTCCCATTAAACTATGACATAATTTAATGTGAACATTAATTTATTGTAAAACTACTTCATCCAAGGCGAATCGTTCTTGATACTTCCAGACATCATCATTAATCATAAAGTCTAGCGCCAAATCCAGCAGCAGGTATGCAGTTGAGCAACATAGCATTAGTCTGCTCGCATGGCAAATCCACTAATCACCTTCTGTCTCAGTGATTTGACTCTGGGGGAAACACCCAGGCCCAGCTATGGCTGGCAATTATGCATAATCTTCTCTCTTCCTCCAAACAACCTGATAATTGACAGGGGTGGGTACCTTTTAGACCCAGCACACATGCAACCATATAATTACACATACAGAGGGGCAACCACGAGCAACATAAGCACACTGTGAGCAGCCATATGGACCAAAGTATTGTGCCTTTTGGAGCATACATCAAGTTTGGTTTGACTTACCATCTGTAACCTGATAAAAGGACAACCAAACTGTGAGTCAGCGTGATTTTGGCTCTATTGATCTGGTTTGTTTTTTTGCATCACAATTATCCTCTGTGATAAATCAAATGTAAAAGAAGGAAGTTGCCAGTCTGATCAGTTGAGTTATTTATACACATATGGCTGTAAAAGTGTAAATGCCCAAGTGCAAAATACTAGCTATAAGAGGGAGCTGCTTGGCAATAAAACTAGTCCAGCCACAACACCCCAGTTGTTACAAGGAGGCCTCCCATATTCTTGTTTAACAGAGCTTTGTGTGGAGCCAGTGTGAGCCACACCTTGATAAAGAGCCGCCATCTGATAGACACACTGTGCAAAGTGCTGCGTAGGTGGACAAAGAGAACAGGCTTGTTTTACAACCTCATGGTTCACCATCTGCTAAGAGACTGTGTACATTTGTGTGTCTGTGTGTGTGTCTGTGTGTGTGCTCATATATGAATTTTAGTGAATAAACTTGTGTATTTAATGTCACCATCCCTTTTTTTTAATCCTGTCTTTCATTATTTATACCTGAATTCATATCTTTCCTTTGACCTCCATTTGTTAGTAAAGGGTGTGGGAAATATGACACTTTTTACTTTTCCTTTCTTTTTCTTTCCATTAAGGTAGTTTAACTTTCTGTGGGTGGTGCTCCACTGATACTCATACTCCTGGGCCTTATTGTAAGAAAAAAAACCACATCAGATAGAATATGCCAGAAAGACAGTGAGTTAGTGAATTTAAAATACAGGAATATATCGTTAGGTGTGTGTGACTGTTAGTGACTGTCCTATCTTGGGGCAGTGACAACTTAAGTTTTGTGTTTCTTTGAAGGCTCACCTATTCCCATGTCATCTCAACTGACTCAAACCAGGAAGTGCGCCGCAATTACAGGGATGCACCCTGCAGCAATGGTGTCCCCACACAACCCATTATTTAGAGGGATTCTCCTTGTCAAGGTGTTATAGCGGAAGAAATGGAGTTGAGTTACGATGCAAAGAAAAGCTTGTCTGAATAGGGTCTCTCGCGCTCGCTGCTGCTATTCATGGTTTCCTTACAGGATTACAGCAGCAGAGCACAGGGGGCTGTAGTATCGAGGGGCGACACTGCGTTCCCAGGGTCGATATCTACTTGTTCCCTCTGGTGACAAGTACAACACGGAAACAGAAAGACATCGAATTTCACAGAGAATAACAATGATATGGGAAAATGTGCAAGTGGAAATGTACATTTTGTCCTTTGTTCTGAAACAGCCGTCTAACAAGCATGAACACGTGTTGCCTATATTGCTTTTACTTGTTAGTAAGTAAGAGTGCTATAAGTGTAAGAGTCACAATACAATTTTGTACAAACTTGATGATTCAGTCCTACCTCTTACATAAGAAGATCAAAATGTAGGATGATAAGAATATGTGTATTTGACTGGTTGTTGTTCCCTTTACTATGGTGAGTGATGTCATGTGCAGCGGAGTGAGGTGGAGAGCTGCATTAGGCATGAGAGCATACAGTTTTTTTTATTTATAATAATAATAATGTATACTTTATTGATCCCTGTGGGGAAATTCCTCTCTGCATTTAACCCATTCACTCAGTGAAGCAGTGCAACAATGTAACAATGTAATTTTGATCATTTCAAAGTAAAAGTTTTAAAACTTAATTAGCTCTCCTGTCATATGCATCAGACCTAAGTTACTGTGCATGCAGTTCCAGAGTGCCTTGTTTAGAGATTTAGAAGGAATCTCCAAAGAATTCCAAGTTCGGAAACATAAGGTATAAAAAATTGTTAATTGTGTTGGTTACACCCTTTAAAGCTATGAGAAGACACAGGAGGACACCGCTTGATTTTTAAATGGAAAATGACTCATAAATAAAAACAAAAATCTTTGACAAGAACATGACAGTACTTGTTATGTTATCCTTTTATATTTCACTTTGTTGCTACTAGCAAAAACTAAAGAACAGCAACTTCTAGTTTAAGCAGCTAGATTCATTCATTTGGTATATTTGAATCTAAATTCTGCCACGTTGTGAAAACGAAAATCTAGCTGAGAGGCTACCAACTAATGTTACTTGGTTTATGACATTTAAAAGATTTGATTATTAAAACCCAACATTAAGAAATTAAATCTTCTAGCTATAACTGAACAAGCTAACATTAGCGTCATGAACTATTTATTATTAAGTAAACCTTAACAATTATTTTTGCAATGTTTTGGGGGTTAAAGCATATCTGTGCGAGTCAGACTTTAGCAACAGTCTGAGAAAAAAGTGACAAACAAACAAACAGCTGCTGCTATAGGCTAACATACAGATAGTTTCACTGTGAGTGTTTTATTTTTTTTAATGTGCAAATTATGGAAGCTTGGGTACAATTTTTGGTTGCTGCTTTAAAGTTTTGTTCGGTATCTCAAAATTTCAACTTGGAAGTAAATTCAAAAATATCCACCTCCAAATCTTTAGAAAATAGTGTTCTCTCGCTATAACGCGGTTCACCTTTTGTGGCCTCACAGTTTCACAGATTTTTTTTTTAAATTTTGCATGCTTTTTCTAAAAAAAAATTAAAAAATTATTACAGCTGTGTTCTGCATGCTGATCAGCTGTAGACCATCTCTACGTATACGGTAGTGGTGTTGTGGCAAAAATAAGCTTCCACACCTGAAACTGCCAAAATTTCCACCTACAAACTTACCGCTTCTCGTTATGGTCCGACTTTCCTTTCTTCTGAGCTGTTGCTGTAATTACTTTCTTGCCCACAGGAGGCGCAAGTTTAATGTTTACTGCAGCACTAACAGTTGTACATATTAGCTGTCAGGCTTTCAGATGACTTCAGAAGCTTAACGTTAACTGACACCAGGCGCTTTTCTTTGTCCAGCAGACAACCTGTAACTACCAGAGCTTCTGATAGCTTCTGTACAACTTGACTATGTTATGGCGTGCTCCTGTAGTATTTATTATGTTCCTCCATGTTAAACTAAGTTAGCTAAAAGTTGTTAGCTAGCTAAGTAAAATATGTGTGTTCACAGCAGTGT